CTATCAGTGGGGAGGAGAGCAGAGTAATGAAGCCAATTCAGAGATGGGGATTATCAGGCCATGATTGGTAAAGACCAGGGGGAAATTTAACAGAGCTCTATCCCAATCTGTTAGAGCACATGATAATTGGATTTATTATGTATTATGAGTGCTTCAATACTTGATTCTTACCACTTTTAACAAATAAGATGAAGTACGATTAATTAGACAACCTCCTTCTATTGATCAATTTATTCATTTTCGATTCTGTAACCACAGGCAGTAAGGCAGATGAAATTTTATTTATCTCTTAGATGCCATGATATGCTGTGTGTGTCTGTGCGCTTGCTCTGCCCTGACCAGGTCATAAAAAGAGGGTCTGTGTCTGCTGTGGTGACGGTTTTTCTACAAATGGTACAAATGGTATCTTGAAAACAACAGGAAGGCTTTCTTTATAATATACAGTATGTTAGTCATTGCAGTCCATCATCTGAAAACCAGGCACCTATTGACACCTATAATTTACCCCATTTGTTTTTCTGTAATTTTTCATGAAAAGTTGCTTCCAGCTGTGGCACTACAGCAGCCCCACTTTTATTTCTGTAAGTTGTAGATGTTTCTGTTTGTATTTACAGTCTCATTTACTGTACTTTGCAACCGATAACTGTCAATTCCAAAGGGAACATTGTGGTTAACATTGTGATTCTGTTGTTTTCTGACTGATAAATGACCTGTTTTATGTAGCTTTTATTCTACTTTGTATCATTGCCAGTTGTAATGTATATCTGCCTAATAATATAAAACAAGGGCCTCTGAGATGCCCCTTCTTTGACAGTACTTTTTTCGAGTATAGATTCAGTCCTAGAGATCTCAGACAGTAATGGAACAAGTCTCCAGGATTCTCCAACTGCAGAGCCCGGCTGGCTAAGAGCTGTGGACATTGTTGGCCTTGCAGTGTACAGTACAGGGCACGATTACTCTTTGCCAGAGCACGGTTCTTTGTGAAGTGTATGCAGAGGGCAGTAGTTTTAGAAAAGCTAGGCTGATTAAGAAGAAGTGACCACAGATGAGGTGACTTAACAAATACATGGCTTCTCTTTTTTAAGCAATTGTTCCATGTTTGTGTGAGTACAATTTTGTAAATTTAAATTAACTCTTAAAGTAAAGTGTTCTGGTCATTTAAAGTTGATAGCATGTGAAATAAGATTACGTATAACAGAAGCAGGTGTAACATTGTGTGTGTTTTCCTGTTTTGCAGGTGAACCCGAGTTTAAATACATTGGGAACATGCATGGCAACGAGGCTGTGAGCCGGGAGCTGATCATCTTTCTTGCACGGTACCTTTGCAATGAGTACCAGAAAGGCAATGAAACCATCGTCGATCTGATCCATAACACACGCATTCATCTCATGCCCTCAATGAACCCAGATGGCTTTGAAAAGGCAGCCTCCCAGGTACTGATAATGCACTGAACATTGGTATATTATTATTATTATTATTATTATTGTAATTATTGTTGTTGTTGCATGTTGGGAAAATTGTATCTGTATTCAAATTTCACTTGGTTTCAAGGGAAACTAGTTTCTAATCAAAACCTGAATTGTTTCAAAAAGTATTTACTCTGAGCCAGGACACTAAATATTTACCCTAAT